CAACAACAACAACAACAACAACAACAACAACAACAACAACCATCGCAACCGAATCAGCAGCACCATCACCATCATCATCATCTTCATCTTCAGCAGCCACAACCACAAAAAAAAAAAAAAAAAACAGCACAACCATCACCACAAACACCACCACCAACAGCCAATCGCATCAGCAGCAATAGTAGTAGCAGCAGCAACGACGACACCAACAATAGTCCATGCGGGGCCCACTCGCCTTAGGCTGGTCCTCGAGGGAGAGGAACGGCACCATCAGGGTCACCATGTCCGCGTCCCTGCCGCGCGCCAGGAAGGCGGCCCTCAGGAGGGGGTTGATCGACGTCCCAGTCATCCACGGAAGGCTGCGTTTCGGATTGTTGGTGCGTTTCGGTTTGTTGATGTTGATGTTGATGTTGATGTTGATGTTTTTGGTGTTGTTGTCGTCTTCACCTAAAAAAACATTCGAGTCTCTATGCCCATACCTCCACACTGATCTACCACCTGACGCGGTTGATTCCCGTGGTCACAGGCTAACATACACTTTGGAAGTTAGATAGTGTTTTTCAATGTCGAGGGGACGGGTTCAGCATGACTACAGCGTGTGCCAAATTCGCTGCAAGAGCAAAGGGTTGAGGCTGATCGCGATTCTGTTTGAGTTCCTTTTCAATTTCGACCGGTTCAGCATATGACTATAATACAATACAGCGTTCATGATACATAGGCAAAAAGCAAAGGCGTTGCCAAACTCGCTCCCCAAGAGGAAAAGGTTAAGCCCGATCGTGATGCTAATCCTCGCCCTACATCGAGTCGATCGAAAAAGCACACTGCAGCAGCGCATGTAGATACATGAGTCGATGCAATCCACCCGCCCAGAAGTGGCGTGAAATCAGGTGGCCGGAACTTTCGTTCTCTTGTCATCTGAATTTAAAAAGTTGACCCGATGCTGTGCCCTAGGCACGGCGAAACTAGACGGACACGGCGTACGATCAAATCAGGTGTACCGACGGGCAGGCACTAACGCGGAGAGTGTTCCTCTTCGCGCTTTCTCCCGCCAAGCGCAGGAGACATCCCAACTACGGTACCACAGCAGAGGCGCCGCCCGCCGCCGGAGGGCACCCCTAGTTGTCATTGTCCGTCGACGGTGTCGAGACTGGACGAGCTACGGCGGCGGGGCTACGTAGCGCAAGAGCGAGCGGCTGGGTCATGGAGAGGGCTGGGCGTCTTGTTTCGCAACCCGGGCCTCCTCCTCCTCCTCCTCCTCCTGGAAACTGCACAAGCCGAAATGAAGAAGTCAAACCATTTGACTGGTCGGCTCGGCGGTGACTAGCCTAATGGTTTGGTTTCGGCGTATGTAAAGCACGTGTCCATCAGGGGCCCCAGGGGCTTCTTGCACCTCATGTGCTGCTCAGGGTCTTGTTGCAACCCGGGTACATAGGTGCACCGAAAGAGGGCGTTCTAGCGACGGCCCTCGGGGACCACGTGCCCTCATTCACAGCTGCGTCCTCCCGGGGCGGTGGGAGTCGAATCAGATCGGGTGATCCGTCTGCCATCCCCCGCGGAGCCGCCGCTTTGCACAACGGTATAAGGTCCTCCCGGGGCCCGTCGCTGGAGCGCCCTTTCTCGGTGCGCACCAATGTACTCGGGGTGAACGAAGCCCTAGTAGGCAGCTGATGGACAGGTGTTTTACAAAGCCGAAATCAAACCATTCAACTACTAGCCCGCGCATTACACTAGTCACCACCGCCGACTAGTCGAATAATTTGATTTCTTGATTTGGGCTTCGATAGTTTCCACGAGGAGGAGGAGGAGGGGGCCGGCGGGCTGCGAAACAAGACGCCCCCATGACAAAGCCGCTCGCTCTTGCGCTGAAGATCGCCGCACCCCCCGGGGCCGTACCGTGGTAGTCGCTCCAGCGTCGATCACCGACAAAGACGACGACTATAATAGTGGTGCCCAGCTGCGGCGGGAGGCGCCTCTGCCAGGTGTGGTACCACAGTTGGGATGGCTGCGCCTCGCCGGCGCGGCCGATGTATGTGTGTCGATTCCACAAATCAACGCGTGCCTGTCCCACTACAGCAATACCGCCTGATTGCTGGAGTGAATTAAGTCAAAGCTGCGTACCCAGCGAACAACACCCCTCTTGTCGCCGACGTCGAAAAGCAGATATCATACGGCGATATGTACCGTCATTGTGGCCCCTTTAGATTTCCGGACACCTCTATTAATAGCAGGGCTACAAAAAATGCGATGCCGTTTGTATTGAAGCTATCATCGACGCCGCAGCGGCTATGATATTAGTCGCGTTGGTCGTATTCGACAGCAGAACAAATGCAAGGGGGGGGTACAGTTAGCAAAGCTGGATGGCGGTATAATTTTAACTCTCGCGTACTGCAAACCAGGCGTATTTTGGCAGGTGGGTGATGCAGAGGCGCACGGAACACAGCAGCACCGCAGCTACCTGCCCAGAGTAGCTTTCTTGGCAAGGAGGACCGTCCGTCCATACACGTACGCCGACACAACAGCAGCGTGCCCCGCCGTTGATGCCGTTCAAAAAACAAACGTCGGCGAAAAGAGTGACGACCTCTCGTCCTTCGTTGCAGCGGGACGCCCCCTTGTACAGATAAATACATCACACATGGACTTAACTGCATATCGAAACAGCCGCAGCAGGCTTTTTTCTTAGATAGAGAGGTGGATTCGTTGGGTCGTGCTCAGAAAAAAAAAAAACGTATCCCACTCACTGCTGTAAAGACTTTTCAACGCCCTCCCTGTGAGAGGAGTCATCTAGTATATTTGTAGCCGTCGTGTGATATTTTTTTTTGCTTCAACAGACTATGACCCAACGAATCCATCTCTATCGAAGAAAAGAGTCTTAAGATTAGTAGATACTTGTTGTACGGATAGAACTGCAGGTACGTATGCATGTTCCAAAAAAGACCTCTTACCATGCCGTCGTGACAACCCACACCCGAACTCGAGAGTTGGTGATGTCGGTCTCCGGGATGAGGACCTGCTCCGCCGCCGCCTTCCTCGCCAGTCTATGTAGCGTGCCGCGCGCGCGCCAGGTGCGTGTGCATGGCATGGGTCGTCCGACGTCAACATCAAGCAGCCACGAGCGCCGAAGAAGCAAGGGAAGAGGAGGCAAGGACAGTAAGCATGTAGGACGTGAAGAGCTGCTGTTGTTCTTGTTCATCACGCTGCTTTGTACATGTGATACTGAAGTCGCCAACATCTGCAGCAGCAACAGCAAGAAAGTCTGCTGGAAGGTACATGTAGACCAGATCAACCATGGTTGACTTCTATTTGGGGGCGAGGGGCGAGGGGAGAGCTACTTACTGCTGCCGCGCCATCAGCAGACACAACGGCGGCGTACAGCAGTCGGGCCTGGCCCGAAGGGCTCTTACATTCCAAAGGAGTCAGCACTCGGCACAAACTCTCGGGGGCATTTGGAGGGCAAGAAGGCAGAGAGACACGTCATCTTCAGTACGTACAAAAATACAATAGAACAAAAAAAAAAAGCAGTGGTCATAGTGTACATACATGTAGCGCACCATTCGGAAACAAATTCCGTACCAAGGTAATCTCTAAAAAAAGTGGGCGTGTATCGGTCGAACCGCATGCACAGCAGTGCGAATGTGCGCGCAGAGCAGAGGTTGGTTTAACCTTGAGGCTACAGCAGTACCCTCCCGAAGGACGTGATGCGTACTCTTTGACCGGCGGCGGCAGAGAGCAAGCAAACACTCTGCTGCTTGCTGTTTTCCGTCACCCCGACAGCAACAGTGCGCTTTGTTCTTTGCTGTTGGGCAACGACAACACGCACCTCCGCTCCCGCGCGAGTGGATGGAACAGATCCCGAGCCATGGCAGCGACCGGGTGCTGCTGCTGCTGCGAGGCCGCCACCACGCCCATGGGCGTCTCCGAGCTCCCCGACATCCCCACCAACGCCGCTAGCAGGCAATAGCTCGCCGCCGCCGCTGCTACCCAAGGCCGTTGCCTGCTCCGACACCAGATTGTTTTCTTCTTTCTGTTGTTGGTGTTGTTGCCGCTGCTGTCGAACGCAACAACGCCGGCGGCGTCACGACTGGCGGCGCAGGCAGACAACGACGCCGGCCTGATGTCAGCGGCCCCTGTTTCCATAGATTGGGAGGGCACAGCTGCCGCGTGCCTGTATATATCACGAGAGTGTTTTCGGGGGTCTGCTGCAACATATTACAGGGGGGATCAGAGATTCATGACGTCGTCGGACGGTTTGCGATCTACGAAGAACCTTTTTTTTCCCGCCGATTTTTCTTTTTTTCTCCGAAACAAACAAAGTTGGAAAAGGATCTCGGCAAGGACGCTATGAATTCATGGCTAATCTATCTTCGACTCGTTTCCTAGATAGAGATGGATTCGTTAGGTCATATTTAGAAAATAAAAAAAAGGATCCCGGCAAGTAGGTATCAAAATGGAGCATCTGATATCTGATAAACTCAAGCTATATACGTTCATCTGGAGGACACCAAGCGTTGAATCATTTGGTTCTTGATTTTCTATCGAACGGGGGTGCGACATGACCTGTACCCGTGCTTTCGCTCTCTCGCATCCTTGACGGCGGCATCGTACTGCCACGAATACACGAGACCTTTTTCAGGCACCTTTTTCAGGCACGAAAAAGGTACGCCGCTCCAAACTCTCCATGTACCTCTTTGCGGCCCACAGGACAAATATTAACAGAATCAATCGAGAGGTCCCGCGAGAAGAGGAGTCTTCGTTGATTCACCCTGTTCTCAAGGAGGACGGTGAAAGGCTAAAGGTTAGCGTTTCATTGAAAACGCACCGCATTTCCAGGTTGGGCCGAATGATGGCCCCCGCCTGTTGCAAACCTAACATAAAAAAAGGTACCGCGTCACCATCTTCGTACGTTCTCGCGTGTGTGAGTATCACAGCCGAAGCATACAAGACATTGAAATCCTCACCAAAGGATGAAAAAGCAAAGTCGCCAGCGCTACAACCACACCTTTACTACCACCACCACCACTACCACCACCACCACCACCACTCCAAAATGTTTAGACGTCGCTATGCCATCAAAAGCAGATAGATATATGTACGTTCATCGTTCCGTGCTCACTACTACTCTCTCTCGCGTCTGTTACTCCTCTCAAAATCAACGCCATGAACACCGAATCCACCCACACCCTACATCACGACGAGGGTTGGAAAAGACGTGGAGGAAGCAAACAAGAGCTGACAGTCAAGCTTTCCCGCAGCAGCAGCACCGCCTCCTCCCCCGCTCTCCGTCCGCGTCTGGCATCATCCGACCGCTCCCGAGGCCCAACCACGGCTACAGCGCACCAAGGGATGATTGTGACGACAAGCGCGCACCGACAAGCTCACTCACCCAAAACTTTGGGCAACAACACCACAACCGTCCGTCCATGCTCTGACGTCGTCAAGGCTTTCATGAGCGCATGTATACACACCTCACGCATCCATGTGCCGCCCCTCCATTGTCTTGTTTCTCGACCCAATCAAACATATCTCTCCAGGAGTACCCTCAATAGACAAAACATCGGATTACAACAACCACCCGCCAACAAAAATGCCCTGGGGGGGCGGGGGTTGAAAAAAGCAAAATACAGATACACGCCTGGTCAAGTTCAACGCAACGGATGATCCATGTCCGAGGGTCATACTTGCCAGCTCTCGTCGCACTTGTGCTCCCCCCCCCCGTTCACATGCACATCCGTCCAAGGAAACGTCTATGCCACCATTCAAACACTGTCGGGACCTACGGAAACACGAGCCCCGCATGCGGGGGCCCCCCCCCCCCCCCCCCCCCCCCCC